GCTTGGCTTAATCTGGGTGGTTTTTTTCCCCCGGAGGGCAGAGTTGTTTTTGTTTTTAATCATTCTAAAACATGGAACTCTTCTTCGGAGAACAGCTCCTAAAATCCATGGGCTGGGGTCATGCCCAGCAGATTTCATGTCTCCTCAGCCATGCTGTTTCTCAACCCAGTTCCCCGAGACACCCTAGCGCTGGTCCAGGTTCTGACCTGCAGGGGTGCACCTCACCACACGTTCAGCCTGCCTGTGATCAGAAAGATGCCCTAGACACATGTCTCCACGCTCAGCTTCTGGGACAATAGCAGACGCATCTGTGGATCTGGGGCTGCACAGAGCCTCGTGACCACCACGGGCCCACTTGGACATCGGCGGCTTCCTAGCCAAGGAGCTCGCCATCTGTCCTCACGTGGACGCCATGTGGGAAGGTAGGAGGGGCTGCACACTTCTCACGCTGGACACCAGACCAGCACCAGTCCCAAGGTCGGCTGGGGAAAGAGGCCAGCCCTGCTCATGCTCATTTATTTATGAAGCACCTCACCTGTGACACGTCCCTCAAGCCCTGGCGTGGAGAGTGGTCCAGTGACAGCCACGCTTCACTTATCTGCTACCATTGGGCATTCTGCCTTAGCTGAGTTCTCTACGCGGTAACCCCCTTCGAGGTAAGCACCCACACTTGATCTTACCCATTCTGAATGCAAATTGCTCTAAGAGGAACTCCACTAATGTCTCCTTTTAAAACTGGGCCCGCTGACTGCCACAACCGGCTTGATTATTCCGGCTCAGACAGATCAATTATTAACACAGCGATTCCTTGATGTCAGTCTTGAAGGGCATGTAAGGCCTGTGACCCTGAGTAAGTGGCCCCAGAGATCCTTGCTTGATGAATTTAGAGGACTTTATCATTATTATTATCATCATCATTATTATTACACATTTGATTGCTATACATCATTTGGCTTGCAAAGAGAATTTACCCAACAGAAAATACACCTCAGACCAGTCCAGTTGGGAGTACCATCTGTACACGTCATCAATAGGTAAGAAACCATTTCTGTGTCCCACAAGTGTCTCGCCTCTCTATTTCCCCCCTAATTTCCTTCCC